GGCTGTTACCATTTGATTCCTTCATTAAAATATAAGCTTGTAACTGATGAGTTACTTGATAGATTTAAGTTTTTTTAAAGCAATGGATTTGTAACCGATTGGAGTTGCAATGCAATTTTTTTTTTTTTTTTTGCAAGAGCAACATATGAAAGTAATCAGGTTAACATTATTTTTTTTTTATTCACATGCCATTAAAATAAATAGTCTACCATTCAAGCATGTGCTAATAATCATATTAGGATCTAAGAACTCATACTTTCGGTGACATCTTTCTACTTTTCATCTTCATCTTTAATTAATTGTTTTTTGCTATTCTTTTGTCTATTTTCTTTTCTATTTATTTTTTACGAGGTACAACAATTTTAGGACGTTTCAAAAGAAAATTATTATTATTTTTTTTAAAATGAGTTTACCTCGTGAAAAACCTGTTAAGCTTGCTAATGATCTTAACATGCCTTTTCGTTTTAACGGTAAGAATTTCAAAAGATGGAAAGGAAAAGTTTTATATTATCTTATTTTGTTAAATTTGGCATATGTCCTCAATGAGGAAAATCCTATTAATTTGTCAACCGAAGGTATGAGTTCTTAGATCCTAATATGATTATTAGCACATGCTTGAATGGTAGACTATTTATTTTAATGGCATGTGAATAAAAAAAAAAAGTGTTAACCCGATTACTTTCATATGTTGCTCTTGCAAATGAATATACATATTTTTATCATGACATGTTGGAGCTTAATGATATTATTGGTTTGTTTAATTTTCAACAGCTTGAAATATCATAAATGGAAATTGTTATGAATTTAATGCATGCAGATATGTGCTCCTTTTGCTGCTGTCATACTCTTAATTTGTGAGATATTTTCAATAGTAAAAGAAAAAAAAAGAGTAAAAAAAAAAAAATTACCTAGCATGTGAAACTATTATGCCATGATGCAATCTTTAAGAAGTTGTATTTGCAGCTAATAAATTTCAACATGAATGTGATTTAACTCCAACGGCTAGTAAAATATTAAGTGCATTGGTTATGCCATTATGTGTAAAATATTTTTTTTATAATCATATATTTTGTTAGTTGATTATTTTTGCTCTCTGACAAATCTTTAGTGAATGCTGTGTTGTCTTACTCATTTAGGAACCATGGAAAATGGTCTATGAAAATTTTGACCAACTGAAAAGACTAAAGAAGAGAGCTACCCAATTTCGTCCATGCAACAATTTTGAAAAAAAATGGACTTGATATTTGGGTTGATATACTCCGGAAACGTAAGTTAAACCTTTAAGCTTACGTGACCGAGGAGCCATTTTGTGGCGATAAAATGTGAGATGAGCTGATATGCTCTTATGAAAATTTTGTGAGAAAATGAGTTTCTTCATGAACTCAATTATTTGAAAAATGTGAAAAATCACATATTTGAGATGCTCTTAATGTGGGGGATTGTGATATCTCTATCTATTATTATTGGTGATGAGACCAATGATGCCTAATTGAGATTTTGCATAGCATTTCTATTATACAATAAGGTGTAATGGTGCTTAAGAAAGTAAATGTGATATGCACTCCTATTATACAATAAGGTATAATGGTGCTTAACAAAATAAATGTGATATGCATTCCTATTATACAATTATGGTATAATGGTGTATGATGAAAAAAAAATAATAAGGCACTTGAGAAAAGGGGTATGTGATGGACATTTCTATTGTACAACAAGGTACAATGGTGTTTGAGTTAAAAATTCTTAAATACATGTTTTGACATGTATGGAAAGAAAAAGGTGGTTCATTAGCTCGATATCAAAAATTGTGGTACCATGAATTGAGAATTTGAGAAATATGAATGTGAATTTTATGAGCTAGTAGACAAGTGGGTTGATGTGAAAAAGTGAGAATAAGAATGAGTTAAATCTCTTCATTACCTACTATACCACCAACTAGGCCTTTGGCAAAAACAAAAGTTGGAGGAAAATCTATGATCATAGACCAAGGTCTAGTGCTCATCGAGGGGAATGTGATTCAAGCCCAATAATGTAGAACTTCCTATGAGGATACCCAACCCGAATTCTAAGAATTGGGTTTCGAATGGGAAAAACGAATCATAGAGAAGTCGTTGTTGAAAGATGTATCAATATTTAACGGAAAAAATTTTTGGTCCCCTTCCTAAGGTGAGGATGCATCGATCCCATAACGAATTGAGGATTAAGTTTTATACTCTTAATGAAATTTGTAACTCATAGAGTGGGGTGTCTTAGTTATGGGAGCATCCTTGACAAATTTCACCTATATGGATGTCGGAGTGGGGCCGCTCCTATGAGAATCGAGTCATTCTTTAAATCATCCATGAATACCAGGATTAGGCACAAAGGCCGTAATGTGCCGGCTTATTAAGCTCAAATTGACACCTGGACTTTTATGTGTGTGATGTGGTCTCCTATATCCTCAAATAGTCATAGTTCAAGACTTTATTCACTAGAGACTATGGAATAGGAGTCGCTGACTCCCTAAATAGAGGTTCAAGGCATTGCTACCTCTATTATGCATAATAGTCTGTCCTTGCCTAAATTCTTCACCTTTTGAAATCCTTTCTTTTTAATTAAAATGGAGGGGGAATGTTGTAAATTTTAATTAAAAATTGATTTGCAAATTAATGAGCATGAGTTTTTTGTTTTGAAGAAAGAACCCATGCATTTTTGTCTTATTTGAAAGAAATGGTTTTGTGCGTTTCTTAGAGGATAAAACCAAGTACCGTAACCGGTGACATCTTTCTACTTTTCATTTTCATCTTTAATTAATTGTTTTTTGCTATTC